CAAACAATTTTGGAAACCTGTAATATATATATTATATCGCATAAATATATTTTGCAAAACAAAATTTCAACAACTGAAATCAACTGTCGGCAGTTTTGGTTTCCATCAGAGAGAGTGCATTTCCCCGATCATTACCTTTGTCCGACAAAGGGGCTGATCCTGTCACTATGATCACCTACTCAGATGGGTTCATGAACCATCTCAACATACCCAGGTTTTGACCCCCTCTAAGGGTCTCACTGATTGGTATATCAAAGATGGCCCAATCCGCCACCTAATGTGGTACCATAATCGAGTCTAGGGGTCAGGTGTAGCATTCCAGTTTTGCCCACTAATTGCCAAGGTCCAGGGCAATACTGGAATTCTGGTCCGGTTCAAGGTCTCAAGCTAATCCCACACTGCATGTACCTCGGGTCTCACCCTGGTGGCAGAGATAGGCCACCCCAACCGACTTGATCTCCCCAGACCGATCCACTGGCTGTGAACGTTTTAAACCAACACAAGTCTCATAAGTGTCCGGTTTTAAGGGCATTGCATAGAAACACACCACATAACATGAATCAAATATGCACTTTATTCATTTACAATAAATGTCATAAGTACATCAAACTGATTGGAGATAAGGGCATACAAAACTGTCTAACACCATCATATGGATGGCCGAACCCTACAAGAAGGTTGGGTGAAATTTCAAAAATTTCTCTCTCCCATCTGGGAATCGCATTCCCTATTTTAGAAAACTGCATTTTCAAGGATCGATCTTGAACCAAACCGGACCAGATCTGAAACCAAAAGGGAGGAGAGGGATATACTTGATACGAAGTAGCAGTAACTCCCAATAAAGGTGTTCACGCCCAAGGAGAAAACCAAAACTTGCTTCCACTAAAGATGACACAGTGTGAGGTGAAGCAGGATCAGCAGGACGGCTCTTCAGCAAGAACCGAATTCTTCAGCAAGAATGGAGTAGAGGGCTGGTGAGCACGACTTCAGATTGCTGCTTCTACCAAGAAGCAATATCAAGAACAATTCTTGATCACTCCGAACTGGGTAGGGGCGGCAAGAACAAGGAAGAACTTTGCAGTTTTTTGTGTCTTGTCTGGTATGTTTTCATGCCCGCCCTGATCTCTTATTTATAGCCTTAAAGAGACAACCTCCTAATCAGATTAGGAGTTTCCTGATCCAAATCTTTATTTGGATCTGGACTCTTTAAGTGATAAGGATAATCCCTTATCTTATCTGCAGTTTAAGATCAGCTTAATCCTAATCAAATTAGGAGTTTCCTGATCCAAATCWTTATTTRGATCTRRACTCTTTAAGTGATAAGGATAATCCCTTATCTTATCTATAGTTTAAGATCAGCTTAATCCTAATCAAATTAGGAGTTTCATGATCCAAATCTTTATTTGGATCTAGACTCTTTAACTGGATAAGACTTATCCTCTTATCCTTATCTGCTGATCCAAACCCAGATCCGCCCCTATTTAATTAATCTAATTAACCCAGTTCGAATTAGGCTTTAGGCCCATTAAGTTTATGTGCTCACTTAACCTCTTAACCTACTGCCCAGTTGGCTCTCTTTGTATGGCGTGGACCTAAACATTGATCTACACATCAGCCGCATGGGTTCAGCCCAACCTTTGTTACAAGGCCTGGCCGAATTTATTGTAGGAGACAGTGAACCCTTGAGCCCATCACTATGGACTCTCAATGGGCCCAACATTTACACTAAATGGTCCTTAGGTCCAGCCACCTTATGAAAACCCAAAGACTGTGGGCAGATGCAAGATTAGCCCATTAGGTATTACCCTCAATGGTCTAACACTTAACCTCTCAGCCCATAATGATCAAACACTGCCCACAAGAGAGGACCTCTCCCTTGGCTGCAAGGTACAGTGCTGCACTCTCTACTCACATGGATCCCGGGAATTAAAACCTTTTGCAAACATTTTAAAACCATAATATATATATATATATATGTGTATATCTCTATATAAATATATTTTGCAAAAAACAGATTTCAACGGTTGAAATCAACTACCGGCAGTTTAGGTTTCCATCAGAGAGAGTGCATCCCCGATCATTCACTTTGTCCGACAAAGGGGCTGATCCTGTCACTATGATCACCCACTCAAATGAATTCTCGGACTGTCCCAACATACCCAGGTTTTGACCCCCTCTAAGGATCTCACTTATTGGCATATCAAAGACAGCCCGATCCGACACAACCCACACTGCATGTACCTCAAGTCTCACCTTGGCAGCTGAGACAAGCCACCCCAATCAACTTGGCGGTACATCAGTGTCAGCCTTGGCAAGATAAATCTCCCCAGATCTATCCAACGGCTGTGAAGATTCTAAACTAACACGAGTCTCATAAGTGTCCAGTTTAAGGGTATTATACAGAAACACACCATAATGACATGAATCAATTATGTACTTTATTCATTTACAATAAATGTCAAAAGATACATCAATCTGATTGGAGCTAAGGGCATAACTGTCTAACACATCAATCATCTTCCCTGTCATAAGATACTAGAAAACACAATAAGAAGGAAAGAAAGTAATTAAACAATTTAATGACTTAGTGGGTTTACTTACAAACAAGAGACTAAAGGGAAATTTAGGAATGTAAAAATACAAAGTTGAGACTAATATCAGAACCAAGGGAAACATTACCAAAACCATTAATAGGAGAAGAATGCCACAATCTAATGTAACTATATGTGTAGTAGAGGGTGCAAACAAGGACTCAAAAATATCTGAAGATCTAGTCATATGATCTGAAGCTCCAAAATCAATTAACCATGGTGAATGATTAGAACTGGAAACTAAACAAGTTGTTCCTAACTGATAAAGGGTAGTAGTGGACTTGGAAGACAAGGAAGAAGCCTGACAAAGTCTCTCATATTCCTTACAATGATGGAGACCAATTCATTACTCTTACCAACTCCTATGGCAAGCAACTCATCAGTAAGATCATTAATACCAATGTCATCCTCCACCACTACATGATTGGCCCAAGAAGATGGTGGGGCATGCAAGTCATAACTAAAAGCAACTGTGTGCCCCTCATGGCCACAATTTGTGCATTCTCTGGCAATGCCACAACCACCAATGTTTCTACCACCACCTCTTCCTTCCCTACTTCCACCACAGCCAGTACCTCTTACTACACCTCTTCCCCTAACACCTTTACCACCACCACCTCTGGTTGTTACTAAGGAAGACTTCTATGAAGTAGTAGAATGATCATTCTAGGGTTGGCATGTCTCCGGATACAAAAAAAAAAAAACACCTTAAAAAAGGAAGGAAGATCACTACTTCCCAAAACTTGAGCTCTCACAGGCTCAAACTCAAACCTCAATCCTGATAGGAATCTGGAAACATCTAAACTCTCTAACAATGCCAGAATCACCAATGTTTCTACCACCACCTCTTTCTTCCCTACTTCCACCACAGCCAATACCTCTAACTGCACTTCTTCCCCTAACACCTTTACCACCACCACCTCTGGTTGCTAGTAAGGCAGACTTCTATGAAGTAGTAGAATGATCATTCTAGGGCTGGCATGTCTCCGTATACAAAAAAAAAAACACCTTGAAAAGGGAAGGAAGACCAATACTTCCCCAAACTTGAGCTCTCACAGGCTTAAACTCAAACCTCAATCCTGATAGGAATTTGGAAACATCTAAATGTTCCTTCTGAGCTTCTTGTACCTCCAAATCAGGAGAATGAATGGTAATCATTCAATTCATTCCGTAGAATTTTCAATGTAGCATAATACTCTTTTACACTCTTATCACCCTATTGAAGAGAGAAATAATCCTAATATAGTCAGTATATCCTTGTCACATTGTCCTTGACCTGAATACAATTTCCGAGCATGCTCCCAAATCTCCTTAACAATGTCTAGAAACATGAGATTAACATTGATGTTGTTTTCCATACTATTTCATAAGGTAGTCATAATCTGAGCATTTTCTTGCACCCATTCACTGTACCCCTCAGACTCACTCTTGGGTTGATCTTCCTTAACATATTTCAACTTCCCTCTTGCAAGTAGGGAGACTTCCATAGATTTAGCCCATTGTACACAATTATTATCATTAAGCTTCACAGTAGTTAATTGGGTATTCATAAAATCTGATTGTACAACTAGAACAGACTTGGAACTACTACTGGATGCAGCCATGGGTTGGATAAGACACCCAACAGTGAGAAAAACAGCTACAAGCACCAACCATAGGATGAAAAACTCACTACAGCAACTCTTCGCCCAAAAAAAAAATGCTACAACAGTAACTTGCTACAGTAGTTTGCAGACCTAAAAGAACAAAAAACAGACCACACAAGCACTTGTAGGGTACCAAAACCCTCCACACACCGTGGTGAGTAAGTTCCCACACCACAACACACAAAACTAAACACCATAAACTGCCAAAAAAACCAGCCGCACTCAGTACACGTACCTGTATTCACGTCTAGGGCTTAGTACACCATCGCAAATACTTCAAACTGATCAACTTAAGGCATTAAACCCTCTTTTCCCAAGGGAGGACCAGTCCTTTTAAGCCCCTTTATCTGCTTGTCTAGAAAAGAGAGAGTTCTCAACTCCTAGGGTGCAAAAAGGAGCATGAGCAGCGACTGTCAAGTTCACTGCTCTGATACCATGAAATAACTTGAGAATAGAGAGAGAGAGAGAGAGAGAGAGAGAGAAGGAAGAAAAAAGAGGGAAAAAGATAGAGAAAGATGCTTTGTACAATAGATAACAAGAAGAAAAGAAGGTGTAAGAGAAAAAGGATCTACAAGAAGAAAATACAAACTGGTCTCTTCTCCTTGTTGAATGTGCAAAATTACAGAAGTGCCCCTGTTAAGTGATTCTTAACAGGGGAAATACAATGCCATACTCAAAAGACTAAAAGGCCCTTACAGGCATACATTTCATGTTTTCAATATATATATATATATATATATATAGAGAGAGAGAGAGAGAGAGAGAGAGAGAGATAGATAAAGGGCAGCCCAGTGCATGAGGCTCCCACCAATGCAGGGTCTAGGGAGGGACAGATGTACACAACCCTACCCCTGTACATATAGAGAGGCTGTTTCCAAGATTTGAACCATGGCCACCGAGGTCGCTTAGAGAGAGAGAGAGAGAGAGAGAGAAACTAATTTTAAGCACAAGGGAATGTGACTGTATGAGTAGGAATAATTAACAGAGATTGAAATATAAAAGTAGAATGCATACACAGGAAGCAAATGCAGCATAAACTTGCAATAGATTAGTAGCCAGCAAGAAAAATCAACAGAACAATATTAAGCAGACTTACATGCTCATCAATAAGATTGAAGGCTTCTCCCAGATTGCGCTTCCTCATCAAGTCCATTTCAGCAACTTGCTTTGCAAGCTGAAAAAGAGAGGAGGCATAAGCATGAATGTAATTTGATAACTCAAGCCCTTTTCTTGGAAAAAAAAGTTACTACTAAAGCAAATGAAGAAACTTGGCTGTAGGAAATGAATTTATAAAACTGTAAAGACAATAGGAGTTTACACTACAGAGTTACATTTTTAGGGTCCGTTTGGTTCATAGTCAGAATCGGAATCGAAATCGGAATGGTCCATTCCCATAGTCTGTTAGGTTCAAACAGGAATGGGATTCCGATTCCGCCCAATCAAACAGTTGGAATCGGAATAGCCCATTCCGATTCCGATTCCAGACCCCTATTCCTGCAAACCAAATGGACCCTTAGTATTCTACTTGGTGCCTGAAAAAGCAAATTACCTGACTTTTGAAGCTATCATACACAACAGCAAGAATCAGGTTAGTTATGAAGTAGACCCCCAATAGTACGTAGAGAACAAAAAACAGGCAGTACCAACGTGAAACCCTAGCAAAAAAAAGTAGAGTTGTGACATGAATGCTACGAATATTATGTCACAATATGTAGCCATGATAGAATGGCTGAAGTCCCATTATAAATTTAACATGGCAGAGTAATTAAGTAGCCCAAAGGAGAAACAAACAACAAAGTTTTCAGAACAAAATTAAAAGGAAAAAAATTGGAACAAAAATATTTGGACATAGATGAGGCAGGAGAAAACCTATATCACGACTCTTGATCAAAATATAAGGTTACCTGTTGAAAATCCCACTCATTTTCCATGCATTGTATGTATAAGAAACAGAAAATTCAATCAGCCTTCCTACTATTAAAAAAAGTACCAAATCCTAGGGACATCACTCAAAAACAAATAAATTAAAAAAGAAAGAAAGAAAAATGATCCTTATAACATAATTAGCATCATACATTGGCCACATTTTTTAAACCACCAAAGAGGGGAAGGCGGTCATAGGAAGAGGCACCGTTGTAGGTAATTGAAGTAAAGAGATGATGACATGGAATAAACAATTTTTGTATCTCTGCTACCAACAATCGGTGCCTCTAGGACACATGGACACAAAAAATGGTGAATGAATCTTTCAAATTGTAAGTTAAATGCCTTGACCTCAATCCCACCTCTTATTCTTTGAGGGTAAGCCTGGTGACGTGAGTGGGGACTGGAATAACACTCTAGCCATTAATGAAATCAATTATGGGCAAGGTAAACCAAGATGTGGTTCAACTGTTCAAGATCAATTTTTGGCATCTCCACTATCAACCATCAGTGTCTCTAGAACCCATGGATAAAAAGTGGCAAGTGGGCCTTCCAAATCTTAAGTTAAATGCCTAGAGCTCAAGCTCACTTATTCTTGAGGGTAAGCTTGGTGAGGCGAGTGAAGACCATAATAATGCTCTAGCCATTGTGCCAACCAAGTATGCACAAGGAAAACCAAGAGATGTTTCAAGATCAATAGTTGATAGGATATAAGATAGGGTTTGAAGGATATGGCGGATGGGGGTATCCGTATTTTATCAATATGAGAGTGGCTAGGAGTTTTAACAAGTCCACAAGAGATGAAGATCTAGTCAATTATGTAAAATAATTTAAGGATAGCCAAGGCTCTAAAAAATATTTGAAAAAGCTTCTATTTAATTATATATTAGTAGAAAATGAAGGGTGAAGAAGGTGACAATGACATTTTCCTTACCTATGCTGGAGTTAGGGGTTGTGGAAATGCCCTTAAAGAAATCAATAGGATTTGTTCCTTCTAGACAACCATTGGTTGCATAGGCACCAATCTCATGGAAAGTGCCCTGCAAATCTCAAGGAAGGTCACAACTTGCACCTCTCCAAGAGTTGCTTGTACTGGTTTTAATATTTTGATAATAATAAATTAATCATTTATCAAAAAAAAAATCTCAAGGGAGGTCATGGACACAATGGGTTACTCCACATCACCAAAGGAGGTGACTAGAAGCTCTTTTGGGGGAAGGTCAATGCATCAGACAAAGGCTATTAATGAATCACTAGGAGGCATGATCATAGTTGTCAGAATCTAATAATTTATGATACAGTTCATGATATGAATCATAAAACCCAAGGGTTTGGATTCAAACCTTGCATCTAAATCCTTTCCTAGAAAAATCTTAAAATTGATGCTTGTATCTTACAATTTAATTCATGAATTTTATGATTATACAGTTCTTATCAATCAAATCAAATCCTGGTTTCCACTTTGTCATTCCTGTGTTTCTTCTAGTTTTCTTCCAAGGGCTTTTGTTTAAAACCTTAATAAGATTCATAAGATTATTTAAGGAATATTTAGAGACCTAATTGAGTTTATTTTCCACCATATGTAGGTTACAGAGCCATTGAGGGATCAAGCTATTTATCTTTTATTTTCTATTGGGACTTCTTTATCTTGTTGGACAAACCTGGCACAAGTTTCACCCCTAAAACTCAGGATCATATACCCTCCTATCCAGTTGATTAACTTTAATCCTAATCCATTTGATACATGCCAAAAGATTTACTACCAGTTGATTAACTTTAATCCTAATCCCAACCATGTCAATCTACTAAAACATGAAACCCAAACAAACTCATTTGCTACCATTTCATAATATGCTTCAATCTTTGTTCCCTTTACTACATGAATGTTTTAATAGGATAGAAAATATTCAGAGTACGACTTGCAACTCCCAATCCATTTATCTTCCCAAAGACACATGTGTTGAAAGAAATATGCATTGTTGAATCATACAAGAACCTCGATCACTACAGTGGCACCCCACATGAAACTTGCTCTTTCACAGAAGAAAAGGAAATTTTAAAAAGGGAGTAGGGGTTGGAGATTCTGAACTTAATCTTTTCAAAAAGAAAAATCTAGCGGAAAATGGCCTGTGGTTTCAGTAGAGATGCAAATTGGGTACCCAATTTGAAGAATTTCCACCGCATTAGGGCTTGGCCCTTCAGAATTTTGAGAAATGTATAACTCACATCTGCCCAAATTGCAACCCTAGGTCGCACTAAAAAAATAACGAAAATGTTCCGCAGAAATTAAAGCATGGATCTAAATCGCTCCCTTTCATGAATTTGAATCACTATTCTAATTCAACTTACTTGTATGCAGGAATCCACACATCAGGATTGTTTGAGGTAGTGAACAAAACAAACATTTGATACAATGTTGTGCCATAGGATGTGAATACTGTTTTCCCCTGGAGGGTATCCTCAAATATAACATAAGCTAACCAACTGGAGAACAGAAGAAATAAAAGCCAAAGAGCCTGCATTACATGAAAACCCAACACATCAAGCACATTAGCAAAGGAAATAAAAAAAGAACGCTATACAGATTAGTGGATCTGAAACTGAAGTTATCCAATAAGTAGATTCTCTGCAGAAAAGCTTGTCAAAAAATAACAAGATTGATTTAATCTTTCTAAACATCTTAAAATCTAACAAGAATGAAAATAGGGAGCCAAAATAGAGTTACTAAACTATAACTCTGTTGAGAATGAAGGTTACCAAGACATTTAAATAAGTTCCAGCCATTCCAGCCAAGGTGACAATGCATGCTCGTAATTCCCTAAGTCCAAAAATAAAATAAGAACAATCACATCAAGGAAGCTCAAATTGCGATTTCTGTTGATAAATTAATCTAACTAAATATTTCTGTTGTAAAATTGAAATATTGAAATTATAATTTCTATAATCAATCAAAAGCAAAATTAAAATACCAGCCTAAACAAAAGAGCTTTTATCTTCAAAACCATCCAATTCCAAAGCATATACAGGAAGACATAGTTATCAAGGCACTAAGGCAAGGTAGCCTATTCATCACTTTGCACTAATCTCTCTCTTTAAATCAATAAAATTAATTTTTCTTACTGATCAAAAAACGGCACCAAGGCAAGGCTTGCTGACAAGGGAACACATTATCACCTGTGGAACTAGGCACCAAAACCTTGACTTAGCTTGTTCCCTTGGCTGAAGTAGCAACTAGTAAACATTTGAGTGATCCAAAGTGAAAGAATAAGACATCAAATGTAGAATAAAAGCAACGTTTTGTGGCCTCTAAAAAAGTTTATTTATTGCAAGAAAGCAACTTTACATGATTGAAGAAAGAAAAGGACAGCCTGAAGCTGACAGGACCCTTTACTATTCTTACTTTACAAATTGATTCTAGGCTCTGGTCCACCCACACAGTTTTCCATTGGAACACCTAAACCTTGCTAAAGAAATCTGCTCATCCATCTAATGAAGAATTCAGATTGGAGGCCAGTGTCCTGACTTGTCTTGCCAGAAATCTCAGCTTGCAAACCACAACCACCATGCTGATCAGGCACACTTTAACCATTGCAGAATTGCTAATAATTCATCTTTGAGTGGATTCCTTACACCTGCTGATCCAGAGAAGCTGATAATAATGTCCACTCCTCCATCTCTAATCACTTCTACCTGAAACACTAGGGTTATTTTCTTCTCCCCTCATTATCTGCCACCTTACAAGATCATTAACAATAACCCCCTTTGAATTCTTATCTAGCTAGCACACAGTGAATAATTAAAAATCATGATGAGTTGTAGAAACATATAAACACTTTGTTTCCAAAAATTATCGTATTTTTCTCACCCCATAGACACCAAATAACAGCTACCCTAGTACAAAACCACATTATACTCTATTTTTTTCAATTATTCTCGTGTTTCGTTTATATAATTAGATACCATTTAAGACCCTTTTATCTTTGATGGAGTAATTTAACAAAGATTTTTCATTGTAGAGAAGGGTGAAACACACACAATTGGAGAGAACAATGCAAATGAAGAGTTCTCTGTTGCAGTCTGGAAGGATTATTTGCTCCAGAAAAGAATCTATCGATTCCCTTCCTAAGTCCAAGATGGCCCACTTGTGCTAGGGAAAAGAATATAAGAAGCATCTGACTCCATGCATGGAGTACATGGCTCAAGGGGATATAACTTAGTTGATTTGCTCCAGAAAAGAGTCTATTGATTCCCTTCCTAAGTCCAATATGGCCTACTTGTGCTAGGGAAAAGAACAGAATCATCTGACTCCATGCATGGTGCACATGGCTCAAGGGATGTAACTTAGTTGATAGAGTGCTGTTCTCAATTTGGTCCTTTCCAATTACAGGTTGGGTGTCCAATTGTCCAATTAAAAATGATGATATCTTGCACTTCAACTGGTGGCTCACTTTTTCTTAGTAACAAGGAAAAAAACTTAAAAATGCCCCTAAGAGATTCTTCTGAGACAACAATGACCTGCCAAGGACATAGAGGAGAGGAGTTAAGACAGGCAGTTAGTTAGATATAATATAGATTGTATATTATGGATAGTCAAGGTTGGCAGCTATCTTAGGGTTCTTTCATCTACATACCCTGGGGAAGAGGATTAAGTTGGCCCTTGTGAACAGCCTGAAGCATTATCTCCCTCAACCCTTTGAGTTTAATGCAGAAACGGAAAACTTCATGGACACCATGTGTCCACAAAAACCTAACACCCAAGCTATGTCCATGAAAAGTGAAAATGAGTTAAAGCTTGGGAGCTTACAAAGGGCAGCCCAGTGCACGAGGCTCCTACCAATGCGGGGTCTGGGGAGGGACAGATGTACACAACCTTACCCCTGCACATACAGAGAGGTTGTTTCCATTTTCCAAGCATTGGGAGTTTACAAATAAGAATAAATTACCCCTTAGCTATGGTCCTAGAATCTAACAGTCTTACCCTTCCCACATCACAATGGGTGGCAAAGGTATAATAGTGAAACATGACATCAATTTCAAAGGACAATGAAGAGAAATTTGTTTAATACTACCTGCATCTTAGCCATTGGAATGGATAGCACATTTACACCAAACAAGGTTTTAAAAGGCTAAAAGCAGAGAGGCGGTTGGGTGTCAATAGGCAAGGCTTAAGCATCAAGGTATACATATAAATTTAATTTATTTACTTTTATGGCCAATTTGCATATTTTCTTTTTATTACATATATTTTAATATGAAACTAATGTTTTTATTTTTATTTTGTATTTCATTTTATGTTTATAACATATTCCATCATAATTAAATAATCAATTAATATATACTAAAATTTATTTGTAATATTTTCTAAGTTTAAGCATACAAATTATTTATTTCATAGCAATTTTTATATTTAATTCAATATATGTTTTTTTAGTATTAATCCTGTTTCGAATGCTGCTACAGTAACCCGAACCAGGAAGAGAAGAAAGAAGAGAAGAAGAAGGAAAAGAAGGGTTTGTCGAAATCTAATGGTTATTCCATTCAGTCGACCCCCTTAATAGTCATTTAGATTCTAATGACATTTACAAAGACTAAACTGTCCTTACTTAAGTGTGGGGCAGAGTGTCTCTAATAAAACTGCCACATAAGCAAATCACTTAACAAACATAAGATGACTAAACTACCCCTATTCGGCTCAATCTCCAAGGTCCAAGGTTAAACTAGAAATGGTTCCGTACAATGTTTCTTAGGCACCCACTCATTGTACCTTAGGTCCAACCTGAGCAGTTGAAACACACTACACCAATTTAGCAACACAAAAGTGTTACCCTTAGCATGATAAATTCCCCATGTTTATCAATCAGCTGAGAACATTTTAAGCTAACATACGTCTCATAAATGTTCAGCTTAAGCAATATTACACAAAATCATACCATATATACATGAAATAATAATGAACTGAATTTATTCAATAACAAATATCAGTTTACATCACTCTTGTTGGAGTTGAGGGCATACACTATCTAACAGAAACATCCCATTTGCACTCAAAACCTTCAAAGATCTAGATATACATCCTTACTAAGCAAACAAGTAAAGAAAGCACCAACAATGACAAGGAGGAAGGACAAGATTGGATCACCTCGCCTAATGCCTTATTTAGCCATGAAAAATAATCTAGGGAAACCATTGAAAATAATAGAGGCTCCAATAAAGAAATGCATATCCAGATCCACCTTAATCTAGCTCCAAAAACCTTTCCTCTCCAAGAAAAAGCATTTCCAACCAAATTGACAACTCATTGAATTTTTCCAAATCCAACTTCTATGACATCGTAACTGTTTGCTGGAACACAGTAGCCGAAGAAGAAGARGAGAAGAAGAAGAGGAGAAAGTTTGAGAATGGCGGCTCWAAACCTTTCAGCCGAMCCTACTATCTTATATATATGTTTATCACATAGTGTTACATGAATGGACTAGAATGCCCCTAATTAGTGATGGGACACCTAGACAAATAAAACATTAAACAAGTTTAGG